GGGGGGAGTTAAAGCCGCTCCGCAGCTGGAATTGCAACCCCCTTCTGCTGGGGATGGGGGAGCCTCTGCAATGGGATGCGCATCCCCCCACCCCATAGATCCCGATAAAAGGGGGGGGTGGGATAATGGGGGGGGGGATTTAAACCCGCTCCACAGCTGGAATTCCAACCCCTTCTCTAGGGGCTGGGGGGAGCCTCTGCAATGGGATGAGCACCCCCCCCCCCGCCCCATATCGCGATAAAAGGGGGGGGTTGGGATAAAAGGCTGGAATAAGGGGGAAGAGGGGGATTTAAACCCGCTCCGCAGGGGGAATTCCAACCCCTTCTGCCGGAGCGTGGAGCCGCTTCATTGGGATGCGCCCCCCCCCTTCCATATCGCGATAAAAGGGGGAGTTTGGGATAAAAGGGGGGGGGGGGCGGAATGGTCCCAAAAGGGGTCGGGAATGGTCCCAAAAGGGGTTGGGAATGGTCCCAAAAGGGGTCGGGAATGGCCCCAAAAGGGGTCGGGAATGGCCCCAAAAGGGGTCAGGAATGGTCCCAAAAGGGGTCGGGAATGGCCCCAAAAGGGGTCGGGAATGGTCCCAAAAGGGATCGGGAATGGTCCCAAAAGGGGTCGGGGATGGTCCCAAAAGGGATCGGGAATGGTCCCAAAAGGGATCGGGAATGGTCTCAAAAGGGGTCGGGAATGGTCCCAAAAGGGATCGGGAATGGTCCCAAAAGGGGTCGGGAATGGCCCCAAAAGGGGTCGGGAATGGTCCCAAAAGGGGTCGGGAATGGTCCCAAAAGGGGTCTGGAATGGTCCCAAAAGGGATCGGGAATGGTCCCAAAAGGGGTCGGGAATGGCCCCAAAAGGGATCGGGAATGGTCCCAAAAGGGGTCGGGAATGGTCCCAAAAGGGGTCGGGAATGGTCCCAAAAGGGGTCGGGAATGGTCCCAAAAGGGGTCGGGAATGGTCCCAAAAGGGATCGGGAATGGTCCCAAAAGGGGTCGGGAATGGTCCCAAAAGGGGTCGGGAATGGTCCCAAAAGGGGTCGGGAATGGTCCCAAAAGGGGTCGGGAATGGTCCCAAAAGGGGTCGGGAATGGTCCCAAAAGGGGTCGGGAATGGTCCCAAAAATGGTCCCAAAAGGGGTCGGGGATGGTCCCAAAAGGGATCGGGAATGGTCCCAAAAGGGGTCGGGAATGGTCCCAAAAGGGGTCGGGGATGGTCCCAAAAGGGGTCGGGAATGGTCCCAAAAGGGGTCGGGGATGGTCCCAAAAGGGGTCAGGAATGGCCCCAAAAGGGGTCGGGAATGGCCCCAAAAGGGGTCGGGAATGGTCCCAGAAGGGGTCAGGAATGGCCCCAAAAGGGGTCGGGAATGGTCCCAAAAGGGGTCAGGAATGGTCCCAAAAGGGATCGGGAATGGTCCTAAAATGCTTGGGTGCAGTTGGATGGGGTTGGGTGCAGTTGAAGATGTTTGGGTGCTGTTGGAGGTGGCATTCAATGGGGTTTGGGTGGCATTCAATGGGGTTTGGGTGCTGTTGGGAAGGGTTTGGGTGGCATTCAATGGGGTTTGGGTGCTGTTTGGGAAGGTTTGGGTGGCATTCAATGGGGTTTGGGTGCTGCCTGGAAGCGTTTGGGTGGCATTCAATGGGGTTTGGGTGCTGCCTGGAAGGGTTTTGGTGGCATTCAATGGGGTTTGGGTGCTGTTTGGAAGGGTTTGGGTGGCATTCAATGGGGTTTGGGTGCTGTTTGGAAGCGTTTGGGTGGCATTCAATGGGGTTTGGGTGGCATTCAGTGGGGTTTGGGTGCTGTTAGGAAGGGTTTGGGTGGCATTCAATGGGGTTTGGGTGCTGTTAGGAAGGGTTTGGGTGGCATTCAATGGGGTTTGGGTGCTGTTGGGAAGGGTTTGGGTGGCATTCAATGGGGTTTGGGTGGCATTCAGTGGGGTTTGGGTGCTGTTGGGAAGGGTTTGGGTGGCATTCAATGGGGTTTGGGTGCTGCCTGGAAGGGTTTGGGTGGCATTCAATGGGGTTTGGGTGCTGTTTGGAAGGGTATGGGTGGCATTCAATGGGGTTTGGGTGCTGTTTGGAAGGGTTTGCGTGGCATTCAATGGGGTTTGGGTGCTGTCTGGAAGGGTTTGGGTGGCATTCAATGGGGTTTGGGTGCTGTTTGGAAGGGTTTGGGTGGCATTCAATGGGGTTTGGGTGCTGTTTGGAAGGGTTTGGGTGGCATTCAATGGGGTTTGGGTGCTGTTGGGAAGGGTTTGGGTGGCATTCAATGGGGTTTGGGTGCTGTTGGAAGGGTTTGGGTGGCATTCAATGGATTTTGGGTGCTGTTTGGGTGCTGTTGGAAGGGTTTGGGTGGCATTCAATGGGGTTTGGGTGCAGTTTGGGTGCAGATGAAGCGGTTTGCGTGTAGTTGCATTTATTTGGGTGCAATTGATGGGGTTTGGGTGCAGACTGGGTGCAGTGTGGGTGCCATCGCAGGTACTTGGGTGCCATCGCAGGTACTTGGGTGCCATCGCAGGTACTTGGGTGCCGTCGCAGGTACTTGGGTGCCGTCGCAGGTACTTGGGTGCCGTCGCAGGTACTTGGGTGCCATTGCAGGTACTTGGGTGCCATCGCAGGTGCTTGGGTGCCATCGCAGGTACTTGGGTGCCATCGCAGGTATCCGGGTGCCATCGCAGGTATCCGGGTGCCATCGCAGGTACTTGGGTGCCATCGCAGGTACTTGGGTGCCATCGCAGGTATCCGGGTGCCGTCGCAGGTACTTGGGTGCCATCGCAGGTATCCGGGTGCCATCGCAGGTATCCGGGTGCCGTCGCAGGTACTTGGGTGCCATCGCAGGTATCCGGGTGCCATCGCAGGTACTTGGGTGCCATCGCAGGTGTCCGGGTGCCATCGCAGGTCTTTGGGTGCCATCGCAGGTACTTGGGTGCCATCGCAGGTACTTGGGTGCCATCGCAGGTGCAGGTCTTTGGGTGCCATCGCAGGTACTTGGGTGCCGTCGCAGGTACTTGGGTGCCATCGCAGGTACTTGGGTGCCATCGCAGGTACTTGGGTGCCGTCGCAGGTACTTGGGTGCCATCGCAGGTGCTTGGGTGCCATCGCAGGTACTTGGGTGCCATCGCAGGTACTTGGGTGCCGTCGCAGGTACTTGGGTGCCATTGCAGGTACTTGGGTGCCATCGCAGGTATCCGGGTGCCATCGCAGGTACTTGGGTGCCATTGCAGGTACTTGGGTGCCGTCGCAGGTACTTGGGTGCAGTCGCAGGTACTTGGGTGCCATCGCAGGTACTTGGGTGCAGTCGCAGGTACTTGGGTGCCATCGCAGGTACTTGGGTGCCAACGCAGGTATCCGGGTGCCATCGCAGGTCTTTGGGTGCCATCGCAGGTACTTGGGTGCCATCGCAGGTATCCGGGTGCCATCGCAGGTACTTGGGTGCCATCGCAGGTACTTGGGTGCCATCGCAGGTACTTGGGTGCCATCGCAGGTACTTGGGTGCCATCGCAGGTACTTGGGTGCCATCGCAGGTGCTTGGGTGCCATCGCAGGTACTTGGGTGCCATCGCAGGTATCCGGGTGCCATCGCAGGTACTTGGGTGCCATCGCAGGTACGTGGGTGCCATCGCAGGTATCCGGGTGCCATCGCAGGTACTTGGGTGCCATCGCAGGTGCTTGGGTGCCATCGCAGGTGCTTGGGTGCCGTCGCAGGTACTTGGGTGCCATCGCAGGTATCCGGGTGCCATCGCAGGTACTTGGGTGCCATCGCAGGTACTTGGGTTCCATCGCAGGTACTTGGGTGCCATCGCAGGTACTTGGGTGCCATCGCAGGTGCTTGGGTGCCATCGCAGGTACTTGGGTGCCATCGCAGGTACTTGGGTGCCATCGCAGGTATTTGGGTGCCGTCGCAGGTACTTGGGTGCCATCACAGATACTTGGGTGCCATCGCAGGTACTTGGGTGCCATCGCAGGTACTTGGGTGCCATCGCAGGTACTTGGGTGCCATCGCAGGTGCTTGGGTGCCATCGCAGGTGCTTGGGTGCCATCGCAGGTACTTGGGTGCCATCGCAGGTACTTGGGTGCCGTCGCAGGTACTTGGGTGCCATTGCAGGTACTTGGGTGCCATCGCAGGTATCCGGGTGCCATCGCAGGTACTTGGGTGCCATTGCAGGTACTTGGGTGCCGTCGCAGGTACTTGGGTGCAGTCGCAGGTACTTGGGTGCCATCGCAGGTACTTGGGTGCAGTCGCAGGTACTTGGGTGCCATCGCAGGTACTTGGGTGCCAACGCAGGTATCCGGGTGCCATCGCAGGTCTTTGGGTGCCATCGCAGGTACTTGGGTGCCATCGCAGGTACTTGGGTGCCATCGCAGGTACTTGGGTGCCATCGCAGGTACTTGGGTGCCATCGCAGGTACTTGGGTGCCATCGCAGGTGCTTGGGTGCCATCGCAGGTACTTGGGTGCCATCGCAGGTATCCGGGTGCCATCGCAGGTACTTGGGTGCCATCGCAGGTACTTGGGTGCCGTCGCAGGTACTTGGGTGCCATCGCAGGTACGTGGGTGCCACTTGGGTGCCATCGCAGGTACTTGGGTGCCATCGCAGGTGCTTGGGTGCCATCGCAGGTGCTTGGGTGCCGTCGCAGGTACTTGGGTGCCATCGCAGGTATCCGGGTGCCATCGCAGGTACTTGGGTGCCATCGCAGGTACTTGGGTTCCATCGCAGGTACTTGGGTGCCATCGCAGGTACTTGGGTGCCATCGCAGGTGCTTGGGTGCCATCGCAGGTACTTGGGTGCCATCGCAGGTACTTGGGTGCCATCGCAGGTACTTGGGTGCCGTCGCAGGTACTTGGGTGCCATCACAGATACTTGGGTGCCATCGCAGGTACTTGGGTGCCATCGCAGGTACTTGGGTGCCGTCGCAGGTACTTGGGTGCCATCGCAGATACTTGGGTGCCATCGCAGGTACTTGGGTGCCGTCGCAGGTACTTGGGTGCCATCGCAGGTCTTTGGGTGCCGCCTCATGGCTGGGTGCCCCTGGCGGCCGCGCTGCGGGCGCTGCGCAGGAGCGCTCCCGGGACGCAGGAGCGCAGCAGACGCGGGCTCACGAAGGGCGACTCCGCCTCCAGCTGGGGCAGGGACACAGAGAAACCCCCCCGGGACCCCCCCGTTGACACCCATTGACACCATTAACACCCATTAATTCCCATTAGCACCCATTGGCACCCATTGACACCCATTGACACCCCCTGGCACCCGTTAGCACCCGTTGACACCTATTAACACCATTAGCACCCATTGACACCCATTGACACCATTAACACCCATTAACGCCCATTAGCACCCGTTGACACACATTAGCACCCATTGACACCCATTAATGCCCATTAGCACCCATTGACACCCATTGACACCATTAACACCCATTAACGCCCATTAGCACCCATTGACACCCCCTGGCACCCCCTGGCACCCATTAGCACCCGTTGACACCCATTAGCACCCATTGGCACCTATTGACACCCATTGACACCCCCTGGCACCCATTAGCACCCGTTGACACCCATTAACACCATTAGCACCCATTGACACCCATTGACACCCATTAGCACCCGTTGACACCCATTAACACCATTAGCGCCCATTGACACCCATTAACACCCATTGACACCCATTAGCACCCATTAGCACCCATTGACACCCACTGACACCCATTAACACCCATTGACACCCATTAGCACCCGTTGACACCCATTAACACCATTAGCACCCATTGACACCCATTGACACCATTAACACCCACTGACACCCATTAGCACCCATTGACACCCACTGACACCCGTTAGCACCCATTGACACCCATTAACGCCCATTAGCACCCATTGACACCCATTGACACCCATTGACACCCATTAGCACCCGTTGACACCCATTAACCCCATTAGCACCCATTGACACCCATTAGCACCCATTGACACCCATTGACACCATTAACACACATTAACGCCCATTAGCACCCATTGACACCCATTAACACCCATTAGCACCCATTACCCATTGACACCCATTAACACCATTAACACCCATTAACACACATTAGCACCCATTGACACCCATTAACACCCATTAGCACCCATTGGCACCCACTGACACCCATTGACACCCCCTGGCACCCATTAGCACCCGTTGACACCCATTAACACCATTAGCACCCATTGACACCCATTGACACCATTAACACCCATTAACGCCCATTAGCACCCATTGACACCCATTGACACCCATTAACACCCATTGACACCCATTAGCACCCATTGACACCCATTAACATCCATTAGCACCCAGACACCCATTGACACCATTACCACCCATTACCACCCATTGACACCATTACCACCCCTTAGCACCCATTGACACCATTAGCACCCATTGACACCCATTGACACCCATTAGCACCCATTGACACGCATTGACACCCATTAGCAACCATTGACACCATTAGCTCCCCTTAGCACCCATTGACACCCATTGACACCATTACCACCCCTTAGCACCCATTGACACCATTACCACCCATTACCACCCATTGACACCATTACCACCCATTACCACCCATTGACACGCATTGACACCCATTAGCACCCATTGACACGCATTGACACCCATTACCACCCCTTAGCACCCATTGACACCATTACCACCCATTAGCACCCATTGACACCATTACCACCCATTAGCACCCATTGACACGCATTGACACCCATTACCACCCATTACCACCCATTGACACCATTACCACCCATTAGCACCCATTGACACGCATTGACACCCATTACCACCCATTGACACCCATTGACACCCATTAGCACCCATTAACACCCATTACCACCCACTGACACCATTAGCACCCCTTAGCACCCACTGACACCCATTAACGCCCATTAGCACCCCTTAGCACCCATTGACACCCCTTAGCACCCATTGACACGCATTGACACCCATTACCACCCATTGACACCATTACCACCCATTGACACCCATTGACACCCATTACCACCCATTGACACCATTAGCACCCCTTAGCACCCATTGACACCCATTAGCACCCATTGACACGCATTGACACCCATTACCACCCACTGACACCCATTACCACCCATTGACACCATTACCACCCCTTAGCACCCACTGCCACCCACTGCCCCCCCTTGGCACCCACCAGCTGCAGGAGCAGGGCGATGGAGTCGCGGCTCCGCGCCCGCACCCCCTCCGTGTCCTGCCCCAGCTGCACGAGGCTGCTGGAGGCCACCTAAGGGCGGACCCAGATCAGCTCCAGGGGGACAGGGACCCCATGGGTGCCCGGGGGTGGGGGTGCTGCAGCACCCATGGGTGCTCTCACCAGCAGGAAGTCCTTGAGGTGCCCCTCGATGTCCTCCTTGTGGAGGGTGAAGAGGGCGGCCGAGAGCTGGGCGATGGCCGTGGCCAGGCAGTGGAGGTTGCTGGGGGAGCCTGGGGGGGACATGGGGGGAGATGGGGTGGGGGGGGGTGGGGATGGGATGGGGGATGTGGGGATGGGGGTGGGGGGGGGGGAGATGGGGTGGGGGGAGATGGGGTGTGGGGGGGGGATGGGATGGGGGAGGTGGGGATGGGGGGAGATGGGGGGAGATGGGGGGGGATTGGGGCGGGGGATGGGGGGAGATGGGGGGGGTGGGGATGGGATGGGGGATGTGGGGTGTGGGGATGGGGGGAGATGGGGGGAGATGGGGTGGGGGGGGGATGTGGGGTGTGGGGATGGGGGGAGATGGGGTGGGGGGGTGTGGGGATGGGATGGGGGATGGGGGGTGTGGGGAGATGGGGTAGGGGGGGTGGGGATGGGGCGGTGGGGATGGGATGGGGGATGGGGGGAGATGGGGATGGGGGGAGATGGGGTGGGGGGGGGATGGGATGGGGGATGTGGGGATGGGGGGAGATGGGGGGGGAGATGGGGCGGGGGGATGGGGGGGAATGGGGGGTGTGGGGATGGGGGGAGATGGGGTGGGGGGGTGGGGATGGGATGGGGGATGTGGGGATGGAGGATATGGGATGGGGGGAGATGGGGATGTGGGGAGATGGGAGGGGAGATGGGGATGGGGGATGAGGGGATGGGGGATGCGGGGGATATGGGATTGGGGATATGGGGATGGGAGATGGGGATGGGATGGGGGAGGATGGGGATGGGAGATGTGGGGATGGGGGGAGATGGAATGGGGGGAGATGGGGATGGGGGAGATGGGACGGGAGATGGGGATGGGGGATATAGGATGGGGGGTGTAGGATGGGGGGAGATGGGGATGGGGAATATGTGGATGTGTGATGGAGGATGGGGGATGTGGGGACGTGGGGCCATGGGGCGCTGGGCTCTCAGGGTGAGTGGGGGGCCAGGCTGGGGCCAAGGGAAGCTCCGGGGCAGCGGTGAATGGGGTGCGCCGGGGGGTGCCCCATGGGGCCGTGGGGCCGGCCCTGCCCTCACCGTCCAGCTCGGGGCTGCAGGAGGATGTGGGGTCGGAGGCCAGCAGGGGCAGGGCCACGGCCACGAAGAGCAGGAGCAGGGAGCAGAGCTTGGACTGCTCCTCTGGGGAGGAACCAGCTGGGGGGGGACAGCGGGACCCCCATGGGGACATGGGGGGACACTGGGGCGGCACCCCCCGGTGGCACCCAGTGGTACCCAGAGGTAGCCAGTGGTACCCAGTGGTACCCAGTGATGCCCAGTGGCACCCAGTGGTACCCAGTGATGCCCAGTGGTACCCAGCAGCACCCAGCAGTACCCAGCAGCACCCAGTGGTACCCATCAGCACCCATCAGCACCCAGTGGTACCCAGCTGTACCCAATGATGCCCAGCAGTACCCAGCAGCACCCAGTGGTACCCAGCAGTGCCCAGTGATACCCATCAGAACTCAGTGATACCCAGCAGCACCCAGCAGCACCCAGCGGACCCCAGCAGCACCCAGGAGCACCCAGGAGCACCCAGCAGCACCCAGGAGCACCCAGGAGCACCCAGCAGCACCCAGCAGCACCCAGCAGCCCCCAGCAGCACCCAGCAGCACCCAGCAGCTCCAGCAGCACCCAGCAGCACCCAGCAGCACCCAGCAGCACCCAGCAGCACCCAGCAGCACCCAGCAGCACCCATCAGTACCGGTCTCTCTGCCAGCGAGGACATTGACCAGCGCGGGGTCCACCTCGCACGGGATGCCCGCAGCCGAGGCCAGCTCGAAGATGCTCAGGGTGACCTGAGGGGACAAAGGGGACGTGGGGGTCAGGGCTGGGGACCCATCCCCATCCCATCTCATCCCATCCCCATCCCCATCCCATCCCCATCCAAACCCCATCCCCATCCCCATCCCCATCCAAACCCCATCCCCATCCCATCCCCATCCCCATCCCCATCCCATTCCATCCCCATCCCATCCCCATCCACATCCCCATCCCCATCCCATTCCTCATCCCCACCCCATCCCCATCCCCTCCCCATCCCCATCCCATCCCCATCCACATCCCCATCCCCATCCCATTCCTCATCCCCATCCCATCCCCATCCAAACCCCATCCCCATCCCATCCCCATCCCATCCCATCCCCATCCCATCCCCATCCCATCCCCATCCCATCCCATCCCCCCCATCCCCATCCCCAGCCCCCTCCCCCTCCCCATCCCCATCCCATCCCCATCCCCATCCCATCCCCATCCCCATCCCCATCCCATCCCCATCCCCATCCCATCCCCATCCCATTCCCACCCCATTCCCCCCCGTATTCCCCATCCCCACCCCATTCCCCCCCATATTCCCCATCCCCACCCCATCCCCATCCCATCCCCATCCCCTCCCCATCCCCATCCCATCCGCACCCCATCCCATCCCCATCCCAGCCCCATCCCCAGCCCCATCCCCACCCCATCCCCATCCCCACCCCATCCCCATCCCCATCCCATCCCATCCCATCCCCATCCCATCCCCATCCCATCCCATCCCATCCCATCCCATCCCATCCCATCCCATCCCCATCCCATCCCATCCCCATCCCATCCCCATCCCATCCCAACCCCATCCCATCCCCATCCCCATCCCATCCCCATCCCATCCCCATCCCATCCCCATCCCATCCCACCTGGATGTCGGTCTCTGGGGTCACAGTATCCATCAGGCACTCAATGGGGCCCATCAGGAAGGGGCAGTGCTGGGACAGGACCTGCGGAGGGAAGGGGGATGCTCCATAGGGTGCGGGGTCCCATGGGTGGTGCTGCCATGGCTGAGGGCTCCATCACTGGAGGTCCCATGGGTGTGGGTCTCATGGGTGAGGTCCTGTGGGTTGGGGGTCCCATGGGTTGGGGGTCCCATGGTTGGGGTCCTATGGGTTGGGGGTCCAATGGGTTGGGGGTCCCATGGTTGAGGTCCTGTGGATTGGGGGTCCCTTGGGTTGGGGGCTCCATGGGTTGGGGATCCCATAGTTGAGGTCCTATGGGTTGGGTATCCCATGGGTTGGGGTCCTATGGGTTGGGTATCCCATGGGTTGGGGGTCCCATGGGTTGGGGGTCCCATGGTTGAGTTCCTATGGGTTGGGTATCCCATGGGTTGGGGGTCCCTTGGGTTGGGGGTCTCTTGGTTGAGGTCCTGTGGGTTGGGGGTCCCTTGGGTTGGGGGTCCCATGGTTGAGGTCCTGTGGGTTGGGGGTCCCTTGGGTTGGGGGTCTCATGGTTGAGGTCCTGTGGTTTGGGGGTCCCATGGGTGTGGGTCTCATGGTTGAGGTCCTGGGGGTTGGGGGTCCCTTGGGTTGGGGGTCTCATGGTTGAGGTACTGGGGGTTGGGTTCCCTTGGGTTGGGGGTCCCATGGGTTGGCGGTCCCATGGTTGAGTTCCTATGGGTTGGGTATCCCATGGGTTGGGGGTCCCATGGTTGAGTTCCTATGGGTTGGGGGTCCCATGGGTTGGGGGTCCCATGGTTGAGGTCCTGTGGGTTGGGGGTCCCTTGGGTTGGGGGCTCCATGGGTTGGGGATCCCATAGTTGAGGTCCTATGGGTTGGGTATCCCATGGGTTGCGGGTCCCATGGGTTGGGGGTCCCATGGTTGAGGTCCTGTGGGTTGGGGGTCCCATGGGTTGGGGGTCCCATGGGTTGGGGGTCCCATGGTTGAGGTCCTATGGGTTGGGTATCCCATGGGTTGGGGGTCCCATGGGTTGGGGGTCCCATGGGTTGGGGATCCCATAGTTGAGGTCCTATGGGTTGGGTATCCCATGGGTTGCGGGTCCCATGGGTTGGGGGTCTCATGGTTGAGGTCCTGTGGGTTGGGTGTCCCATGGGTTGGGGGTCCAATGGGTTGGGGGTCCCATGGTTGAGGTCCTGTGGGTTGGGGGTCCCGTGGGTTGGGTGTCCCATGGTTGAGTTCCTATGGGTTGGGGGTCCCATGGTTGAGGCAACCATAGTTGAGGATCCCATTGTTGGGGGTCCCATGGGTTAGGGGTCCTATAGTTGGTGGTCCCACGCCTTGATGGTCCCATGGGTTGGAGATCCCATTGTTGGGGGTCCCATGGTTGAGGCACCCATAGAGTGGGGTTCCCATGGGTTGGGGGTCCCATTGTTGGGGGTCCCGTGGTTGAGGCACCCATAGCTGGGGTGCCATGGGGGGGGGGGATCCCATGGGGGGGGGGGCACCCACCTCCCGCAGGCCCTGCTGGGCCAGGGCGCGGAAGCTCAGGATCTCGCCGATGATGATCATGCGCTTCAGGACGTTCTCGGCCGCTGCAGGACACACGTGTACACGTATGTACATGTATGTACATGTATGAACACGTATGTACAGGTATGAACACGTATGTACAAGTATGAACACGTATGTACATGTATGTACAGGTATGAACATGGATGTAGAGGTATGAACACGTATGTACATGTATGAACATGTATGTACAGGTATGTACATGTATGAACACGTATGTACACTTATGAACACGTATGTACATGTATGAACATGTATGTACACATATGTGTATATACGTACACGTATGTACATGTACGTACACGTATGTACAAGTACATACAGGTATGCACACGCATGTACATATATGTAGATGGATGTACACATAGTACAGGTATGTACATGTATGTACACATATGTACATGTATGTATACATATGCACATGTATGAACATGTATGTACAGGTATGAACACATATGTACATGTATGAACATGTATTAGAGGTATGTACATGTATGAACATGTATGTACACGTATGTATACATACGTACACATATGTACATTTATGTACACGTACATACACGTATGTACACGTATGCACACGTATGTAGATGTATGTACACGTATGTACATGTAGTACAGGTATGTACATGTATGTACACGTATGTACATGTATGTATACGTATGCACCTGTATGAACATCTATGTACACACATGCACACACACATGTACACACATGCACACACACATGTACACGTACACACACACATGTACACGTACACACACACACATGTACATGTACACACACACGTACACACATGTACACACATGTACACACACGTACACACACACACACATGTACACACACACATGTACACACACACAGGTACACACATGTACATGTACACACACATGTACACACATGTACACACATGTACACACACACACACGTCTCACATGTACATGCACACACATGTACACGTACACACATGTACACACATGTACATGTACACGTGCACACACACACATGTACACACATGTACACGTACACACACATGTACACACACATGTACACACACACACATGTACACACACACACATGTACACACATGTACACACACATGTACACACATGTACATGTACACACATGTACATGTACACACATGTACACGTATACACACACACACACATGTACACACACACACACACATGTACACACACACACATGTACACACATGTACACACATGTACACACATGTACATGTACACGTGCACACACACACACGTCTCACATGTGAGCCGCGGCAGCAGGTCCCCCACGTCCCCGGGCCGGCGGCAGCGGGCGCGCAGCTGCAGCAGCACGTCCATGTTCTGCACCACCAGTTTCTGCGGGCACAGCGGGGGCCGGTGGCACCGCGCCGCTCCCGCCGCCCCTCCGGAGCCCGAGCCCGGCCCCAGCGGCGGGACCCAGCCCCACCTGGAGCTCGGAGAGCTGCGAGCCCACGTGCCACAGCAGGTTGGCGCTCAGGAACTGCATCCCGTAGGGACCGAGGAGCTCGGCGAGGGCCCGCATCTCTGGGGGGGGGGAACATGGACAAGGATGGATGGGGATGGGGATGGGGATGGGGATGGGGATGGATGGGGATGGGGACAAGGATGGATGGGGATGGGGACAGGAAAGGGGACAATAATAGATGGGGATGGGGATGGGGATAGATGGGGATGGGGACAAGGATGGATGGGGATGGGTACAGGAAAGGGGACAATAATGGATGGAGATGGATGGGGATGGGGATGGGGATTGGGATGGGGATGGGGATGGGGATTGGGATGGGTACAGGAAAGGGGACAATAATGGATGGAGATGAGGATGAGGATGGGGATGGGGATGGGGATGGATGAGGATGGGTACAGGAAAGGGGACAATAATGGATGGAGATGGGGATGGGGATGAGGATGGGGATGGGGATGGGGATGGATGGGGATGGGGACAAGGATGGATGGGGATGGGGACAGGAAAGGCGACAAGGATGGATGGGGATGGATGGGGATGGGGATGGGGACAGGAAAGGGGACAATAATAGATGGGGATGGGGATGGGGATAGATGGGGATGGGGACAAGGATGGATGGGGATGGGTACAGGAAAGGGGACAATAATGGATGGAGATGAGGATGGGGATGGGGATGGATGGGGATGGATGGGGACAAGGATGGGACATGGATGGGCACAGGAATGGGGACAAGCATGGGGACGGGGACAAGGATGGGGACAGGGATGGGGACAGGGACAAGGATGGGGATGGGCATGGGCATGGGGACAAGGATGGGAACAAAGATGAATGGAGACAAGAACAGGGACAAGGATGGATGGAGACAAGAATAGGGATAAAGACGGAAGGGACAAGGATGGATGGGGCTAGGGATGGAGACAAGGATGGGGACGGGAACAAGAATGGGGACAGGGAGGGGGACAAGGATGGAGACAAGGATCGATGGGGGCAAGTATGGGGACAGGGATGGATGGGAACAAGGAGGTGAGGAAAGGATGGATGGGGACAGGGATGGGGACAGGGATGGATGGGAACAACAGTGGGGATAGGGATGGATGGGGACAGGGAGGTGAGGAAAGGATGGATGGGGACAGGGATGGATGGGAACAATGGGGATAGGGATGGGGACAGGGATGGATGGGGACAATAATGGGGATAGGGATGGATGGGAACAATGGGGACAGGGATGGGGACAGGGATGGATGGGAACAATGGGGACAGGGATGGGGACAAGGATGGATGGGAACAATGGGGACAGGGATGGATGGGAACAATGGGGATAGGGATGGGGACAGGGATGGATGGGGACAACAATGGGGACAGGGATGGATGGGAACAATGGGGACAGGGATGGGGACAGGGATGGATGGGAACAATGGGGATAGGGATGGGGACAGGGATGGATGGGGACAATGGGGACAGGGATGGGGACAAGGATGGATGGGAACAATGGGGACAGGGATGGGGACAGGGATGGATGGGAACAATGGGGACAGGGATGGGGACAAGGATGGATGGGAACAATGGGGACAGGGATGGATGGGAACAATGGGGACAGGGATGGATGGGAACAATGGGGATAGGGATGGGGACAGGGATGGATGGGGACAAGGAGGTGAGGAAAGGATGGATGGGGACAGGGATGGATGGGGACAATGGGGCCAGGGATGGGGACAGGGATGGATGGGGACAATGGGGACAAGGAGATGGGGACAGGCACAGGGATGGGGACACCACCGCACATCCATGGGGCGATGCCCCCCCCCCCCCCCAGCCCCACACCGGTCACATCCGAGAACTCAGCAGGGTTGAAGCCGAGCTCCCCCTGGCCCTGCCCCACGGCGAACGCCTGCATGGAGGGGGCCAGGACCACGGCGCCGGTGCTGGCCGGGCGCAGCAGAGCCTCCAGGTACCTGCAAGGGGGCCGCGGGCTCAGGCAGCATCGCCCCCAGCCCGGCTCCATCCCCGAGCCTGAGGCTTTCCATAGGGGTCTTGGGCCCCATCCCTGGCCCCATTGGATATGGGGCAGGGCGGGGGGGGGATTGGAGCATCCTGGTCTGATGGAAGAGGTTGAACACTTGGATGTGCCCACGGGAGCGGGTTGCGTGCCCCACATCACCCCTGGGTATGGGGCAGGACCCCCAGCCATGGGGCAGGACCCACAGCCATGGGGCAGGACCCACAGCCATGGGGCAGGGCCTACCGGGCATGGGGCAGGACCCACAGGCATGGGGCAGGACCCACCACAGGCATGGGGCAGGACCCCCAGCCGTGGGGCAGGACCCACCACAGCCATGGGGCAGGACCCACCACAGCCATGGGGCAGGACCCACAGCCATGGGGCAGGACCCACCACAGCCATGGGGCAGGACCCACCACAGCCATGGGGCAGGACCCACAGCCATGGGGCAGGACCCACCACAGCCATGGGGCAGGACCCCCAGCCGTGGGGCAGGACCCACCACAGCCATGGGGCAGGACCCACCACAGCCATGGGGCAGGACCCACCACAGCCGTGGGGCAGGACCCACCACAGCCATGGGGCAGGACCCCCAGCCCTGGGGCAGGACCCACCACAGCCATGGGGCAGGACCCACCACAGCCATGGGGCAGGACCCAGCCCACAGCCGTGGGGCAGGACACCACAGCCATGGGGCAGGACCCCCACAGCCATGGGGCAGGACCCCCAGCCGTGGGGCAGGACCCCCAGCCATGGGGCAGGACCCCCAGCCATGGGGCAGGACCCCCAGCCATGGGGCAGGACCCACCACAGCCATGGGGCAGGACCCACAGCCATGGGGCAGGACCCCCAGCCATGGGGCAGGACCCCCAGCCGTGGGGCAGGACCCACCACAGCCGTGGGGCAGGACCCACAGCCATGGGGCAGGACCCACCACAGCCATGGGGCAGGACCCACCACAGCCATGGGGCAGGACCCACCACAGCCGTGGGGCAGGACCCACCACAGCCATGGGGCAGGACCCACCACAGCCGTGGGGCAGGACCCACCACAGCCATGGGGCAGGACCCACAGCCATGGGGCAGGACCCACAGCCATGGGGCAGGACCCACCACAGCCATGGGGCAGGACCCACCACAGCCATGGGGCAGGACCCCCAGCCGTGGGGCAGGACCCACCACAGCCATGGGGCAGGACCCACAGCCATGGGGCAGGACCCACCACAGCCATGGGGCAGGACCCACCACAGCCATGGGGCAGGACCCACCACAGCCGTGGGGCAGGACCCACAGCCATGGGGCAGGACCCCCAGCCATGGGGCAGGACCCCCAGCCATGGGGCAGGACCCACCACAGCCATGGGGCAGGACCCACAGCCATGGGGCAGGACCCACCACAGCCATGGGGCAGGACCCACCACAGCCATGGGGCAGGACCCACCACAGCCATGGGGCAGGACCCCCAGCCATGGGGCAGGACCCCCAGCCGTGGGGCAGGACCCACCACAGCCATGGGGCAGGACCCCCAGCCGTGGGGCAGGACCCACCACACCCACAGACATGGGGCAGGACCCACCACAGCCATGGGGCAGGAGCCCCAGCCATGGGGCAGGACCCACAGCCATGGGGCAGGACCCCCAAGGCATGGGGCAGGACCCACCACAGCCATGGGGCAGGACCCACCACAGGCATGGGGCAGGACCCACCGGGGCTGCGTCTGCTGCAGGAGGACGCTGCGGATGAGGCGCCCCGGGTCCAAGCCCAGCACCCGGCCCCAGGTCTGGATGGAGCCCACGTAGGAGCGGAGCCCAGCCAGGACCTCCGAGGGCCGGGTCACATCCTGGGTGCTTTGGTTGTAGCCTGCCAGGGCCACGATGGCTCTGTGGGGATGGGGATGGATGGGGATGGGATGGGGTGGGGATGGGGATGGGATGGGGATGGGGATGGGGAGGGGGATGGGGAAGGGATGGGGATGGGATGGGATGGGGATGGGGGGGTGGGGATGGGATGGGGATGGGGGATGGGGATGGGGGTGGGGATGGGGTGGGGATGGGGTCAGGATGGGGGTGGGATGGGTGGGGATTTGGATGGGGATGGGGGTGGGGATGGGGGTTGGGATGGGGTGGGATGGGAGGGGGATGGGGGTGGGATGGGGATGGGGGGGGTTGGGGGGGGGATGGGATGGGGGGGATGGGGATGGGGGGATGGGGGGGATGGGGATGGGATGGGGATGGGATGGGGGGGATGGGGGGGTGGGGATGGGATGGGGATGGGGATGGGGTGGGATGGGGATGGGGATGGGGATGGGATGGGGATGGGGATGGGATGGGATGGGGATGGGGATGGGGATAACGGGATGGGGATGGGGATAACGGGATGGGGATGGGGATGGGATGGGGATGGGACGGGGATGGGGATGGGAAGGGGATCGGAGGGGGATCCGATTGGATGGGGATGGGGATGGGGATGGGGATGGGGATGGGAATGGGATGGGGATGGGGATGGGGTGGGGATGGGGTGGGAATGGGATGGGGATGGGGTGGGGATGGGGATGGGATGGGGTGGGGTGGGGATGGGGATGGGGTTGGGGATGGGGATGGGATGGGGATGGGGATGGGATGGGGATGGGGATGGGGATGGGGTGGGGATGGGGATGGGGATGGGGATGAGGAGGGGATGGGATGGGGATGGGGTGGGGATGGGGATGGGGATGGGGTGGGGATGGGGATGGGATGGGGATGGGATGGGATGGGGTGGGGATGGGATGGGGTGGGGATGGGGATGCCCAAGGGCCGCAGTTGGGTCCCCCCCTGGCCACGGTTCGGTCCCCACCGGCTGAGCCGGGTCTCCAGGTGCCGGGCCAGGTACTCCCCCGGGGTCACCGTGTGCTCAAAGACGCTGAAGGCGGGAGCGTGGCCGAAGCTCCGGGACAGCTCGGACAGGGCCTGGTGCAGTTTGTCCAGGCTGGGGGAGGGACAGGAGCCGTGGGGCACGGACAGCCCCATGGCACAGCCCCATGGCACAGACCCACGGGCACAGCCCCATGGCACAGCCCCATGGGCACAGCCCCATGGCACAGCCCCATGGACACAGCCCCATGGGCACAGCCCCATGGCACAGCCCCATGGCACAGCCCCATGGACACAGCCCCATGGCACAGCCCCATGGACACAGCCCCATGGGCACAGCCCCATGGCACAGCCCCATGGCACAGCCCCATGGCACAGCCCCATGGGCACAGCCCCATGGCACAGCCCCACGGGCACAGCCCCATGGGCACAGCAGGGCCTCACGGCACCAAGCGGTCATCCCCAATGTCTGGTACCCATCAGCTCCTCTCCATCCCCAATGTCTGGTACCCACTATCCCCTCTCCATCCCCAGTGCCTGGGGCCCACCAGCTCCCATCCATCCCCGGTGCCTGGTACCCACCATCCCATGTCCATCCCCACCAGCCCTTGTCCATCCCCACCATCCCCTCTCCATCCCCACCATCCCCTCTCCATCCCCTCTCCATCCCCTCCATCCCCTCTCCATCCCCTCTCCATCCCCTCTCCATCCCCTCCATCCCCTCTCCATCCCCTCTCCATCCCCTCCATCCCCTCTCCATCCCCTCTCCATCCCCTCTCCATCCCCTCTCCATCCCCTCTCCATCCCCTCTCCATCCCCTCCATCCCTCCCCTTGCCCCCCGGTGCCCCTCACTTGGTGCTCAGGCTCCGGTCCCTCCTCTTGCTCTCAGCCCCGGGTTTCTCCCTCTGGGTCTCCCCTTTCTTGGCTCCTTGCTTGAGGCTCTTCTTGCCCCGGGCCTTGCTGAGGGAGGATGCGCAGTGCTTGGGCAGCAGCTGAGGGATGTGGGGCAGGGTTACAGCAGGGCAGGGCCCGAACGGGACCTCCAGGACCTCCCCTGCCCCATTCCCACCCATCGCGATCGCCATGGGGACCACGGGGCTCCAAGAGGATGCAAGGATGGGGAGAGGGATGGGGAGAGGATGGAGACGAGGATGGAGGGGGGAGAGAATAGGGATAAGGATGGGGATGGGGATGGATGGGGACAAGGAGATGGGGAAGAGGATGGGGACAAGGATGGATGGGGACAGGGATGGATGGGAACAAGAAAATGGGGACAAGGATGGATGGGGACAGGGATGGGAATGGGGATAAGGACAGGGACAAGGATGGATGGGGACAGGGATGGGGACAAGGATGGTTGGGAACAAGGACAGGAACAAGGATGGATGGGGACAAGAATAGGGATAAGGATGGATGGGGATAGGGATGGAGACAAAGATGGGGATGGGGGAAGGATGGGGACAAGGATGGATGAGGACAGGGATGGGAACAAGGATGGGGACAGGGATGGATGGGGACAAGGATGGGAATGGGGATAAGGACAGGGACAAGGATGGATGGGGACAAGGATGGATGGGGACAGGGATGGATGGGGACAAGGATGGATGGGGACAAGGATGGGGACAGGGATGGATGGGAACAAGGATGGGGACAAGGATGGATGGGAACAAGGACAGGAACAAGGATGGATGGGGACAAGAATAGGGATAAGGATGGATGGGGATAGGGATGGAGACAAGAAGGAGAGACAAGGATGGATGGGGACAAGGATGGGGACAAGGATGGGGACAAGGATGGATGGGGACAGGGATGGGGACAGGGATGGGGACAAGAATGGACGGGGCCCAAACAGGGACAAGGATGGATGGGAACAAGAACAGGGATAAGGATGGATGGGGACAAGGATGGGGACAGGGATGGGGACAGGGATGGATGGGAACAAGAACAGGGACAAGGATGGATGGGGAATGGGGACAAGGACAAGGAGGGACAAGGATGGATGGGGACAAGAGAACGCAGAGCCCCCAAAGGCCGTGGACACCCTGGAGCCCAGAGGGTGCCGGGAAGGCCTCGGCCGGAGCAGCTTTGGCTGCCCCATCCCCGCCCCATAGAACAGGAGGAGCTTTGAGGCTCTTCCCAACACCCAGCCCTCGATCCCATGGTCCCGAAGGGCCCAGGGAGGCCCCGAGGCCACCCAAGCCCCCAAGGGTGCTGCTGGCCCCACCTGCTCGCTGAGCTTGTGCTGCTCAGCGCAAGCATCCAGGATGCAGGAGCTGGCGCGGCGAGCCATCTCCTCCAGGTACCCATCGCACATCCCTAGGGCTGCTGCCTTCAGCTGGGGATGCTGCAATGGGAGATGGATGGGTCCAGAGTGGGATGTGGGTCCGGACCCCCCCCCCCCATAGCATCCCCATGGGCAGGATCCCACCTCCTCGGGGCACATGGGGTGGAGGCAGCGGGAGAAGTGGCTGCAGAGCAAGGGGAAGGCGATGCTGTAGCGGAGCATGGAGGGCTCGGCCAGGGTGGACAGGAACAACTTCTCCATGGGGCGAGGAAAGAAGCTGCAAAAGGGGGGGAAGGAATGGGGTGGGGTGGGAATGGGGTGGGAATGGGGTGGGAATGGGGCAGAGATGGGGTGGGAATGGGGTGGGAGATGGGGCAGGAATGGGGTGGGAATGGGGCAGGGATGGGGTGGGAATGGGGTGGGAGATGGGGCAGGGATGGGGTGGGAATGGGGCAGGAATGGGGTGGGAGATGGGGCAGGGATGGGGTGGGAATGGGGTGGGAGATGGGGTGGGAATGGGGTGGGAATGGGGTGGGAATGGGGTGGGAATGGGGCAGGGATGGGGTGGGAATGGGGTGAGAATGGGGTGGGAATGGGGTGGGAGATGGGGCAGGAATGGGGTGGGAGATGGGGTGGGAATGGGGTGGGAGATGGGGCAGGGATGGGGTGGGAATGGGGTGGGAGATGGGGCAGGAATGGGGTGGGAATGGGGCAGGGATGGGGTGGGAATGGGGCAGGGATGGGACAGGAACGGGTCAGGAATGGGTCAGGAATGGGGCAGGAACGGGGCATGGGGCAGGAATGGGGCAGGAATGGGTGCAGGAATGGGTCAGGACTGGGGCAGGAACGGGGCAGGAATCCCTCAGGAATGGGGCAGGAACGGGGCAGGAATGGGGCCACCCGGGGCAGGGGCCCCAGGAATGGGGCAGGAGGAATGGGGCACCCCAGGAATGGGGCAGGAATGGGTCAGGAATGGGGCAGGAATGGGGCAGGAATGGGGCAGGAATGGGGCAGGAATGGGGCAGGAATGGGGCAGGAATGGGACAGGAACGGGTCAGGAATGGGACAGGAATGGGGCAGGAATGGGGGACGGGGCAGGCTATGGGGCAGGAGGCAGGAATGGGACCCCAGGAATGGGGCAGGAGGTGATGGGGCCATGGGGCAGCTATGGGGCAGGAGGGGCAGGATGGGGCCTCATCCATGGGGCAGGAGGGCAGGAATGGGCCAGGAATCAGGAATGGGGCAGGAGGCGATGGGGCCTCATCCATGGGGCAGGAGGCGATGGGGGCCATCCATGGGGCAGGAGGCGATGGGGCCGCCCCGCTATGGGGCAGGAGGCGATGGGGCCTCATCCATGGGGCAGGAGGCGATGGGGGCCATCCATGGGGCAGGAGGCGATGGGACCCCCGCTATGGGGCAGGAGGCGATGGGACCCCCGCTATGGGGCAGGAGGCGATGGGGCCCCATCCATGGGGCAGGAGGTGATGGGACCCCCCCGCTATGGGGCAGGAGGCGATGGGGCCACCCCGCCATGGGGCAGGAGGCGATGGGACCCCCACTATGGGGCAGGAGGCGATGGGACCCCCGCTATGGGGCAGGAGGCGATGGGGGCCCATCCATGGGGCAGGAGGCGATGGGACCCCCCCGCTATGGGGCAGGAGGCGATGGGGCCTCATCCATGGGGCAGGAGGCGATGGGACCCCCGCTATGGGGCAGGAGGCGATGGGGCCTCATCCATGGGGCAGGAGGCGATGGGACCCCCGCTATGGGGCAGGAGGCGATGGGACCCCCGCTATGGGGCAGGAGGTGATGGGGCCGCCCCGCTATGGGGCAGGAGGCGATGGGACCCCCGCTATGGGGCAGGAGGCGATGGGACCCCCGCTATGGGGCAGGAGGTGATGGGGCCACCCCGCTATGGGGCAGGAGGCGATGGGGCCTCATCCATGGGGCAGGAGGCGATGGGGCCACCCCGCCATGGGGCAGGAGGCGATGGGACCGCCCCGCCATGGGGCAGGAGGCGATGGGACCCCCGCTATGGGGCAGGAGGCGATGGGGCTGCCCCGCTATGGGGCAGGAGGCGATGGGACCCCCGCTATGGGGCAGGAGGCGATGGGACCCCCGCTATGGGGCAGGAGGCGATGGGGCTGCCCCGCTATGGGGCTGGCACCCCCGCTATGGGGCAGGAGGCGATGGGACCCCCGCTATGGGGCAGGAGGCGATGGGACCCCCGCTATGGGGCAGGAGGCGATGGGACCTGCGCTATGGGGCAGGAGGCGATGGGACCCCCGCTATGGGGCAGGAGGCGATGGGACCCCCGCTATGGGGCAGGAGGCGATGGGACCCCCGCCATGGGGCAGGAGGCGATGGGACCCCCGCCATGGGGCAGGAGGTGATGGGGGCCCATCCATGGGGCAGGAGGCGATGGGACCCCCGCTATGGGGCAGGAGGCGATGGGACCCCCGCCATGGGGCAGGAGGCGATGGGACCCCCGCCATGGGGCAGGAGGCGATGGGACCCCCGCTATGGGGCAGGAGGCGATGGGACCCCCGCTATGGGGCAGGAGGCGATGGGGCTGCCCCGCTATGGGGCAGGAGGCGATGGCACCCCCGCTATGGGGCAGGAGGCGATGGGACCCCCGCTATGGGGCAGGAGGCGATGGGACCCCCGCTATGGGGCAGGAGGCGATGGGGGCCCATCCATGGGGCAGGAGGCGATGGGACCCCCCCGCTATGGGGCAGGAGGCGATGGGACCCCCGCTATGGGGCAGGAGGCGATGGGACCCCCGCCATGGGGCTCACCAGAGGTCGGAGAGGTCGGAGACCTCGTCCAGGAGCTGGGGCAGGGAGTCCAGGAGCTTGGTGCGGAACACGACGGCGCTCAGGGCCCCAGCCACGGCCGCGACGGAGCCCGGAGGCAACGCGGCCCCAGAGACGCTCGTGTAGGCCTGGGGGGAGGGATGGGGATGGGGGGATGGGGATGGGATCAAGGATGGGGGTGGGGGTGGGGATGGGGGGGGGGGGATGGGGGGGGGATGGGGATGGGACAAGGATGGAGATGGGGAGGGGATGGGGGGGATGGGGAGAGAGGAACGGGATGGGATAGGGTTGGGGTGGGGATGGGGATGGGAACAAGGATGGAGATGGGGATGGGATGGGGATGGGGATGGGGTGGGGATGGGGATGGGGATGGGGATGGGGATGGGGATGGGACAAGGATGGAGATTGGGATGGGGACAGGGACAAGGAGAGGGAAAGGGATGGGGAGAGAGGAAGGGGATGGGGACAGGGATGGGACAAGGATGGGGATGGGGATGGGGACAGGGACAAGGATGGAGATTGGGATGGGGAGAGAGGAAGGGGATGGGGACAGGGATGGAGATTGGGATGGGGAGAGGGATGGGACAAGGATGGGGATGGGGATGGGACAAGGATGGGGATTGCAATGGGGATGGGAACAAGGATGGGGATGGGAATGGGGATGGGACAAGGATGGAGATTGGGATGGGGACAGGGACAAGGAGACGGAAAGGGATGGGGGGAGAGGAAGGGGATGGGGACAGGGATGGAGATTGGGATGGGGACAGGGATGGGACAAGGATGGGGATGGGACAAGGATGGGGATGGGATGGGGATGGGACGAGGGACACGGATGGGGAGAGGAAGGGAATGGGGATGCAGATGGGACAAGGATGGGGATTGCAATGGGGATGGGAACAAGGATGGGGATGGGGATGGGGATGGGATGGAGACTGGGATAGGGACAGTGGCAGGGAAGGGAATGGGACAGGGATGGGACAAGGATGGAGATTGGGATGGGGACACGGACAAGGATGGGGATGGGATGGGGAGAGAGGAAGGGGATGGGGATTGGGATGGGGAGAGGGATGGGACAAGGATGGGGATGGG